AACATTCCTGTTGTTTCTCAACCAAAACTCAAATATTTCAGAATTTTGAACCTGAGTGTTTCTACAAAAGTATTAAAAATTCGTTCATTAGCAGTCAAAGTCACTTTTACCATGACTTAAAACTTGAGTTTTCTACAAACAATCACAAGTAAATAGTTCCAATGACACTTCAAAACATTTTTAGTTTTACCACACGAAAAACGATAAAACTCTTCAGAATTTCACAAAAAAATACATACAAAAACCACCAAAATAAGTACGAAATAAAAACATTTAGCAAACTATATTTGTATATAGTAAAATTACTCACCTCGAGTAATAGAACTCATATTTACAAAGTTTTTTTACAAGAATATATTATTAAAAAACAGTTTTTAATTTTATAAAAATTGTGCTGCTTCACTTGTATTAACACGTACTAAAAAATTTGTAAACATTACCAGCTGTTTGTACATAAACAGGGTTGCCAAAAGTAAATTTTTTTTTAATTTTTTCTTATCAATATGTTGGGTATTGAACACCATCAAAATAATTGCAAAAATTTAAATTTGAAAAATTGACTTTTTGCCGCTAAAATCCCAATTTCCGCTATAGTGCACTGTCGCACAGCACTTCCTTAAGACGCGTAGCGATGTGCAGCGTAACTCTGGTTTTGACACATACTGGTACAGACGTACAACTGTACTGGGTTCCGGGGCATACCGGCGCCGATTTTACTCCAAACGGGAGATCGACCTGTCAGTGATGTTAACCAAAACGCTAGGTTGTTAAGTGTCCAGGATTATGTGGGGGATTATGAGGGAGGATGCTTTGAGTAGTGGTGTCTGTTCCAGCGGAACAACAATTTTATTAGGAAACAAACTTAAATAACACTTTAATATCGCAAAAATTCAGTGAAATAAAAAGAATTATATCTATATTTTTCTCTTTATAGCATTAAACTCTTAAGATTATGCAAACAAATTTAAATAAAAATAAACGAAACAACCTTCCGCTACCCGAAGACTCGAACATAGATCTCTCGAATGGCATTCCAGTGCGTTGCTCACTTGGTCATTAAGACGGTTGAAACAAATATCCGTAACGTCCTTAATAATTTTACAATCTATGTACATGATGCTATTAGTTTTAAGCCGTTGAATGTATAAACAGGCAGAAATTGTCAATATATTATCTGTATATTATCACCGAAGAGTTTCACATAAAAACTTATTTATTATATTTTAGTGCTTACTTAAAAAAATTACCTTATTTAGGACATGTAATCTAAAGTTATTTATATTGTATGGTATATTTTCTAATTTTATATTCTCTCTCTATCTCTCTCTATCTCTCTTTCTCCTTATTTTCTCTTTTCTCCACACGCAGGCGATTCAATTATTCTAAATTGTCAAGCCGATGGCACACCAACACCAGAAATCTTGTGGTACAAAGATGCTAATCCAGTTGATCCCTCGCCTACTGTCGGCATCTTTAATGATGGCACCGAGTTACGGATCTCCACCATACGACACGAGGACATCGGAGAGTACACTTGCATTGCACGCAATGGTGAGGGACAAGTCTCCCATACGGCCCGTGTTATAATAGCGGGCGGCGCTGTAATCATGGTAAAACATAAATTATTTTCGAACCACCAAACCCCCCACAGAAACCTCTCTCAGTAATAGCAAGTCCTCTACAAATCATAATTAAATGCCATTTTGGATAGAAAGTGATAGGGAAATCAAAATTTTAAAAATACTGATTTGGTGATGAGAAATTTAACAAAAGTATACAGTTGCTTGACAGCTTTTCTAAGCTTGACGTTTTTCTTTTATATGGCATAGTAGCTGTTGGAGGCCGCTCCCCTTAAGGCATATACTTCTAGGCAAGTTTAGAGATTATTGAGATCAAAGTGTATAGTAGCTTGCTTATACTAGTATGCAGACATTTTACAGTTATAAATAATTTTTGATATTTAGCAGTCATGGGGTAAGTCAAAACAGTGAATAATGGCTAACTACGCGAATGAAAATTCTTTTGTCGTTTAATGGTAGTAGTCGCCTAGGTCAATTCAAATTTTTTGTTTGTTTTTTAATTATTATTTTCTTTCATGCGTATACTCATGCATTTTTCGACAGGAAAAATTGGGTTTATTATTTTTTTCTTAAAATACTCGTAAGTTGGGAATCTATTCTGCCTACTCTTAGAACATTTTTTTTAAATTCCGGGAATACTCTAGGAGAAATTTTACGTTTAGCCTAGTTTTATCAAGAGTTAAATTAAGTAGATTTTTCAAGCCAACTCCAGGTTCATAGATAAATGTAAAAGAATCAAAAACTCGGTCAGAATCCCTTAGGCAGTTACAGCGCCAAATAAGAAGTAGAAAAAGACATGCATAAAATATGTATGTGAGCCACTACAAGAATAAATATAGTGGATTTTTATTTAAGTTCCATACCAAAATCGGTAAGTGCAATATTTGATATATAACTTGGAAAGCTGTCAAGCAACCGTTAAATAAAAAAATGAAATAATAGAATTGGTTATACCAATACTTTGTGCATTACTTAAATGTAAATAGTGTTTCATATCCATATGTTTAAGTGTTGTCGCCCCCTATTTATAAACAAACAGAAAGAATGATATAATAAGGCTGTAATGATTTAAATTATAAATCAATAATATCATTTTATCATTTATTACATTCATTAACACTATTTTAAAATTTAAGTATTTACCAAGATATTTCTAATATTTACCTACCAGCAGAATGTTTTCATAACCCACAAATCGCTAAAGGACCTCGCACAATTTTTATAGAAAATAATCGCCGGTAAATTTCACCTGTAGCGCGGAAATCAACTTTAAAAGCAGCTTGATCAATAGTTATCATGGGCATTAGGAGACCATGTGAACTAAGGCCCAAAGTTCACTAAGCTGACTCTTGACAAAAAGCGCATTCTAATATCTAAGCACTACTCTTTGGATCTAGATAAATACTAATCAGTATGTTAGCATTGGACGCTCACCTTTTCCTTGGTTTAAAGCCTAACCTCTATTTTCAAGGTAGCGTGAAGGACAATGATCATGTTTCAGTAAAATATTTTGCTCAAAACTAGTTTTTTGTTCATTTGAAGTTAATTTGAGAGTTTGGTCTCGACAATTGATATTCAAATGTTCTTGAAAATTTAAGCTATGTTTTAAACGTTAGTACAAAACGTCGCAAGTAGATATCAGCTTAGAACAATATCCTAATCAGTAGATTTGAATAGTAAAGCTTAGAGATTATGGTGAGTTTTTTTTACCAAGAGCTCGTCGCTCTTGTTACGTCTACTTAGTCTTGTACACTGAGAAAATTGTTTAGCTACCTCAACTAAATATGTTGTCACAACACGTGATTTAGTTGTAGTCACATGATTTGGCTAAAAAATCTTGTGCTGAAAGAAAAAATATATTTATATTTATGTATATAAAATTGGTTCCTCCTGGGCTCCCTCCACATGTTACTTTTAGTTAGAGCGAGTTAGCACCGAAATGATCACATTACCAATTTAATACAATCTAAATAGTTTACTAATTAAAGTTACCCCGCAATTCTGTGGCAATTTTCAAGCTTGATTATTTGTCAAAAATTTGCGCGTGATTCTTTTGGCAAATAGTCAAGCTTCACAACTTGACAAGTGCATAGAATTCCTGAGTTTGTGTTTATGTGTATGTACATATCTCACATCTTGTAGACTGTTATATTGCATAATTTAAGGCACGACAGTTATTTATTTGGTGCGATTTAGAGATAGAAATTAAATACAGCACTTTATATAATCTTCTTTTAGGATACTGTTTCCTAAAATTCTAGTCTATTTTTACAACGCTT